CCAACACAGAATTAAGGGTTTGTTTACAATTTAGAACCCCAAGCACCCGACTGGTCAAAGAACCAGCACGAAAGTGAAGTTGAAGACGAGGAAGATAATGAAGAAGAGATTTATTGGGATTCTAAGATGTCAAAGTACCGAATTAAAGAAAATATAAATAAAACGTTTATTATGCTAGTTGCCAGCGGCGGCGGCGGCTCGAAAATTTTAAAATTTTGAATACCATCGGCGACGCGGCGGCTGCAATTAAAGTGTCTCAGCGGCGACGGCTTAAAAATTTCCAAAATTGCTACTGTCACGGCGGCGGCGGCTTAAAATTTTTTGAGTCTGTCGGCGGCGACGGCGGCTCAGCCGCACGGCTTACACCTCTATTTGAGATGTTTTTAAAAAGTGTTCTTCTAGGACAAGCTTCGAAGTAAAACAAGTCTAGTAGAAATCGAATTTTCAAAATGATTGTGCTAGGTAAATTAATCAGAAATGTTTTATGCGAAGAAACATCATTCCTGTCTTAAAGAAAATTAACTTTTAATATTTGAAATGTTTTTAAAAAATGTTCTTCTAGGACAAGCTTCGAAGTAAGACAAGTCGAGTAGAAATCCAATTTTCAATATGATTGTGCTAGCTAAATTAATGAGAAATTTTTTATGCGAAGAAACATCTTTCATGTCGTAAAGAAAATTAACTTTTAATATTTGAAATGTTTTTAAAGAAGTGTTCTTCTAGAAGAAGCTTCGAAGTAAAACAAGTCGAGTAGAAATCCAATTTTCAATATGACTGCTAGCTGAATTAATCAGAAATTTTTTATGCGAAGAAACATCTTTGATGTTTTAAGGAGAATTAGCGTTTTTGTATTTGAAATGTTTAAAAAGAAAGTAGTAGATAAAGAATGGCGCAAGAAATCAATTTGAACTTCTAGACGATTGTAGAATTATTTTATAAGTAATTCTATATCTAAGACGTTAGTTAAGTAAAATAAATTTCGTGCATTAGTTCTGTTTTTGAAATAACTATTAAGTACATTTTCGGATAAGTTGAAAAGCGTATCGCGTCAATCATGATCTAACTTTGCTAATATCAAATTATGCAACAAATTTTACAACAATGAAGAGAAATAAAAGTACCCAAAACTACATAATTTCTTATTTCTATTAATATATGTCTTACAAAAAAAAATTATTAGTAGGAAAGCTTAAAAAAGATGTTTGATATAATTACTTGTATAAAAGTACACTTTAGTCGATTGTATTTAAATCAACAAATATGTCATAGAAAATCATATTTCTAAAAATCATAAAGATTATTATCGTAATATTACTTGTCTTAAATAGTTTTAGTAGTTAATTATGTTTTCAGAACGTTGAAAAATTTATCAAATGAGAAATATTATGGAAATATCAAACTAGATATAAACATAAAACAAAGAATAATAGTCCCATAAATTTATGTAATAATTCAATGAAACATTTGCATAATAAATCAAATATAAAAAGAGAAAATAATTTCGTAGATTACTGATTGAAACCAATGCTTTTTTTTATCAAGAAGAATTTCTTTCATGGCCTTGTTGGATAAAATAGACATCATTACATTTTGTATGTAACAATGTTTTTTTTCATCTTTCTTTCCTTGAAAACCCTAGATGGCTAGCAGAGGTGATTCTCGACTTATTTAATTTTTAATTCAGTACTTTTGACGATAACGTCCATATTAGCTGTGAGTAGGAAGAATGAAATAACACTTATTTAAATAGGAGAATACTACCATTAGAAAATGACAGTTTTTTTTCTCGATTATTCTAGAGAATGATGGAAACTATTATGAATATTGTCAAACGGATAAAACAAACGATCAGTCAAATGAATTTATTCGAAGTTGAAATGGCACGTTCAGAAGAACTTGATTTACGAAAAGCCATTATATCAACACGTATCTTTATTATATTATTAACATTTACTCTCACCATTCTTACAGTTTATTCGGCGTTGGATGGTCAAAATCAAACGATTATCGTTCTAAATCCAACTCAATCTGATTTCGAAAATCTTTATCGAAAATATCCAAATACATTAGCATGTCCATGCACGGATATTGCCATTCCATATCGTTCATTTATTTCAATAATTCCAGAATATCATCCAGTTTGTTCAAGTATCTTCGTTTCTGATAATTGGATCAATATATTATTTAATCCGAATATAAGTTATTATTATCCACTTGATTTTCGTTCATCTGCAAGTGGTCAATTCCAAATACTTTCTTCATTTTGTTCTCTTTCTAAAAGATTTGTTAATGATACAATTGATGATTTTCTTTCAAATGTTTTTCTGACTCCGGTTGTTCTTTCATCATATTTACTTGATCTTCAAAGTCAAGCACAAAGTTCATTTATACAAACATTAACGAGCAATACTTTTCGACAATTACTTCAATTAGTTCGTAGTACAACGTTTACTAATCAATTGCAAACAGCTTTACGAACTTCATCATATTTAGGATTCTATATTTTTCCGAATGGTAAAACAGCAACATATGCAATTCAGAATTTTTACTCTAGTAATAATAACACAATATGTTATTGTGGTTTACAATCTACTTGTTCATCATCAGTATGTGGTTTTTTTGATTTATTTGCTTATGATACTAAAGGTGACTGTACATCTTCGATGTCACTTATAGTCAATGTACCTGGATTTGTAGCTGGATGTTATGCCATTGAATCACTTCTTCAATCGACACTTGAATGTTTTTTTGATTCAACATGTATAAATACTGTACTACGATTCCTTTCGAATAATAATATGACAGATATTAAACAACTAGATGTTAATCAAACTCAATTTTTACCTCGAACTACTATTGATACACTTTTTACTAATTTATTTATTGAAAAATGGTCAACAATAAGTTCTTTCACAGAATATTATAAAAAATGTTCTCCCATTCTATGTACATATACGTTCATTCAACGTAATAGTGCTCTTTATATCATAACAAAACTATTAAGTCTTTACGGTGGACTAGTTATTGTACTTCGTTTTTGTGTACCTTATATCATTATTTGGTGGTATAACCGTAAAAACAATCAAACAAGAAATAACACACGTAAGTGCATATCTATTACATTTAAGAAAACGTAAGCATTTCTATTCTTAGAAATTCGATTAATTGAACGTCGTCGCATGTTATGGAGATTGGTTATAGATAAAATACGCAAGCTGAATCTATTTAATACAAATATTACGCGAAATGATCCTTTTGAATTAAAAACATCAATAATATCTACTCGTATCTATATCATTCTCGTATGTGTATCCGTATGTATTCTAATTATTTATGTATCAACAAATACTCGTACACAAACATTTACTATTCTCAATCCATCACAAAATACTTTTGAAGATTTATATATGAAATATTCAAGTATAGTTAAATGTCCATGTAAAACAATTGCTATTCAATATGATAATTTTGTTTCTGAATATTCTCAATATCATCCTGTATGTTCAAGTTTATTTATATCTGCAGCATGGTTAGCTTCAACATCATATTTGAACTGGCCCGATCAAGCAGAACGTGTAGTCGATTTTAAAGGTTCTGGTCAAACATTTTTCGTTGCTTTGCAAACATTATGTTCACTTGCTAAAACAACAGTATTCAATGCTTGGTATAATTTTAAACAATCTGCATACATCACTGACCAGGTTGTATCTAAAAAAGAAATGATAGAACATATACAAACAACACTTAATCAATTTCATTCAAACACAGTAGCTCAATTTAAACAAAGTCTTACACTTATTCAATTTCATTCAATTAATATGTATGCCGTAGGAGCTGGCAATGTTCGTTTAGAAACTTATACCTCAGCTAATTCCACTAATCAATATTTGGCCTTTTATTATAAACAGGTATATTGGGATAATTGTTCTTGTACATTAAATGACAATTGTGTGTCTCCAATGGGTTTTTATAATTATTCTCAAAAAGATTTGGCTTATCCAAGTTCTTTAATATTTAATATACCACAGTTCTTTATTGGTTGTTTTGTCTTACAATCTGTTCTTCAATCATCACTTGAATGTTTTTTCAATCAAACATGTTTAGATGCTGTTCAATTTCAAATTCGTTCAAGTCAATCAATTAATATAACTATTCTTCAAGCAAATACAACTCGATTTTTACCTGAAACACTTATTAAAGTCATAGTCGATAATCTCATGCTCGAACAATGGGGTGATAATATTCAATATAGTCAATATTATCAACAATGTGCACCTGAATCTTGTTCTTATACAATTACATCACACAATGATTTTTCATATATTATAACACTTTTAATTAGTTTATTTGGTGGAGTTTCAATGGCATTGAAATTAGCCATTCCTATCATTGTCCGTTGGATACGAAATCTGTATCGACCCAATATCAATCCAATAGGTAAGTCAAAAGAACAGTATAATAAAAATTGCTCAATATATTTGATGAGTGTATTTAAGAGATATTTATTCTACGTTTAGTTCCTTCTCCTAGAATTTTTCAACGGCTATGCTTAGTATGGAATAAATTTAAGATGAAGATAATAAATTTGAATATATTTGAAAGTGAATTATCATATAATAATGATCATCGTCGTCGAAAAGAGATAATTAAAACTCGAATCTATATTTTATTACTTACAATAAATATTACAATACTTATTATTTATAATTCATTTTCTATTCAAACTCAATACACAATAATCTCACATCCATCTCAAGAAACATTCAATAATCTTCTAATGAATCTTCAATATTCGCCAACACTCGAATGTCAATGTCAGAATATAACTATTCCCTACAATTCTTTTATTTCGATCAGTCCTTATTATCATCAACTTTGTTCGAGTGACTTTATTAATATGAATTCTGGTTGGATTAATATGCTGTACTCATATGGAATCGATGAAGAACATCCATATGATGACTTTCAATTATTTGCTTTACCACAGTTTCGTACATTGTCTTCATTATGCAATCTTGCTAATCAAACATTGACCGATAGTTTAACTTCATTTGCCTCAGAAGTACTGATTAATAAACAAGTACAATCTCGTGAAGCCATTGAATCACAAGCTGAAACCATTATAACTCAATTTCGTTTATCAACATGTCGAACATTTGTTCGTATGCTCGATTTTATTCGTGAGATGGCTCAAGGTAATGGAATTGTTTCAACTATTCAATCGAATTGGTATTTTCATTCAATAAACAGAATACAGTTTTCATCAGTGTGGGCTACACCACGTTCATATGGTGATGAAAATAATTGTTCTTGTGGTACAAACTCTATGTGTACTTCTCTCGCACTAATCAATGGTTCATTAATACCTGGTTTTCGTATTGGTTGTTATGTACTCGACTCTCTTCTTCAATCAACTTTAGAATGTCTTTACGATGTTAGTTGTATTGATCAAATCAAATATCTTTATAATGTTACAAATATCGTTATTCGTCCACTCAATCAAAGCTTTTCTTTTCCAAATGAAACTGTTCAAAGTCTTGTTGATAATCTTCTAATTGATAAATTGGAAAGCAATGTGTCTTATGAACAATATTATGCTGTATGTTCACCTCTCTCGTGTACATATTCAATCAACAAACGAGTTAATCCAATATATATTATAACAGTCATTATCGGTCTTTATGGTGGATTGACTGTTGCATTGAAACTTGTGACTTCTCTTCTAATGAAAATACAATATTATTTCATGATAATTATTCGAAGAAGAAGAATCGAACCAGTCGTTCACATTATTCCAGAAAACTAATAATATTAAAACTGATTGATTTTTATTTTCGATGTTGTTTTCGTAAATACAATATATAAATAAATACATATCCCCCGAAAAAAAAATAGTTAGACTTTGTATTTTGAATATATTTCCACTATAAGAACATATTGGTTTAAAAGTACTTACATGTTCTGAAATCCCGTGGAGTTTTCTATCATCCTGTATAATTAGGTTATAGTCTACTCCTATTTATCACCAAAATAGATTGAGTTCAATGAAGGCACCCTCATGTCCAGATTCCCACAGACTTGATTTTCTTACTGTACTCAAAATAAGTTTTTAAAATTTTTCATCAGTATAGAGTTCGCTTTTTAAAAAAGCAATCATATATTCTGATGGCGCTTGAAATTCTCTATCTTTTTATATATTGGTCAACTATCTTATATCTATCGATTATGAAAATAATTCGAG